ATGGATAATCGCATATTTTGCCTTTTATGGCCGTTTTTCTTCGAGGACTTAGCCGGACGTTTGTCCTCCGAAGGACCTCATTATGCATCCCACAGAAGCTGAGTCGGGTGTGGGGCTTGAGCGGCGTCTTGAAAATCAGATGACGAATTGGATTGGAACCCGGTCGGGAAGTGTGTCAGCCTTCAGGTTCCCATGTTGTTCGTCAGCAGGCCTGTGCAGCGGCGGAGCGGTAAAGCTAAATTGCTCCATGATGAGAATGGAAACAAATCGCAGGAGTTCTGTTTGAGAATCATTTTTGGCGGCAGGCAAGTTCAGGGAAATTTTGTGCGAAGAGTTCTTGTGGTCTCTTCCCCCGCCAGGCACATCCTTTGCAGGCGTTGAGTTCGCGTTTGCGATTTGCCACTGAGGCACCCTCTTGGGCACCTTGGCTAGAAATTTGGGTTGCATCATTTTTCATTCAAACAAATTGGATCCGTTTTGTTTCTGGAAAAAAACAGGCAAATTCAGATTTGGTTCTATTGTGGAATTTGTGGATCTTTTGTTTGTTTTTGCTGGCACAGGTTATCTACTTGCCGCAAGAACTCCAAGACAGAGTGCGGTTCCAAGAGGTTTTGCATGGATAGAGTGCAATTGAAATTTGTTGGATGTTGGCGCGCTCAAGACAAGTGCCGGTCCGTTTGTTGGAGTCTTGGGCAACTTGTTGCAAGTCTCTCTTGTTGCACGGGCCGTAGCCATACAGGAGTCATGGCCAACTCTGCAGCGAAATTTGCAAGACCTTATTAGGACTCCAAGTCCTTGCTGAGCCTAGCCAAACCACCCTGCAGAAGAACAGAATCAAACTGTTATGTCTTGACTCAAAAGGCTTCCCACTTTTAACTCGTTGGACATCGGACATCCTAGGTCAACAGCTCTGTCGGCCCCACTCCCAGCTTCGGCCCCTTGGCGTCGTTTTGGGGGGTCCCGGGATGAACAAAAGGAGCATATACTGTATATATCATTTACAGTATATGTGTTTATACTGTATATAGATTTGCAGGAAGAAGATCCATGAACTTTCTTCGCAATACATTTCAGCTTGGGGAGATGTCCCACTTCAAACTGTTTCTGGGGCATGATCAATCAATCAGAATATGTTAGACACCATGGTTTGCCATGTCTTTCATGGCAACTTGGTCAGCACACTTGACTTTTCAATTTGACACGTTTTCAGCTTAGAACCATTGTGAGACGGCTTGCATGCCACTTACTAGCCAAGGAATTACCTTCGAATCTGTCCTGAAGGAGAAGGCGGGTGGCATCAACTTTTGAACACACACCAACAGGATCAGCCCCAGAAGTTGGCACAAACAATGAGCACCAGCACACTTGCCCAACTGTTTGCCAGATCGCACTCATTTCTTCGAACCCATTTCTAGATATTCTTGTTGCAAAAGACAAGAATAGTAGAGCATCACAGCAACCAAAGTTAGGTAGAACATGGTAGAACACCAAATCCGAACAGGATCTGGGCCGAAAAGGGACACTGGTGACGCCGAAAAGGGACATCCTGGGACGGCCTCGTAGAAAGCACCGCATTTTGTGGGCCTCAAGGGTGGTCACTCTGGCTTCTCTCGGTGCCAGTCCAAGCACACGCACACACACACACACACTCTCTCTCTCTCTCTCTCTCCCTCTCCCTCTCCCTCTCCCTCTCCCTCTTCCTCTCCCTCTCTCTCTCTCTCTCTTATTTCTTTAGATCTTTTTCATTTTTCTCCAGTTCGGTGTAACTGAGCAACTGAAGCATGGAGAAGGTCTCAGCGGTGGTCGGTCCAGGGCTCCTTTCAACTACGCCCTGGAGCTTGGTGGTGGGGGGGCGCTAGCTGCCTCGGGTGCTGTGGTTGGATGTGACTGTGATGAGGATGTGACTGTTGGGTGTTGGAGGATGGAAAACCGGCATACGAAGCTGCGGGTCGAAGCTGCGAGTTGTCCTTGGATGTCCTGCGAAGCTTCTAGGTCTCAACGAATCTGGAGCATGTCCAGAGATAGCAAAGGCTGCCGGGAGGCGAGGACCGCTAGGATCTCTATTCTATTCTCCACCAGCGATTTGAGAGATGCAGAAAAACCTCGACAAGACATCTTGGGGGTTGCTGTTGGCACCTGAATTCTGAGCGGCCCTGTGCACGTGACCAAGATTTAGTGTGTGCACCTGCCTATCGTTGCCGCTAGGTCCAACGAGCCTTTGATGAAGCTACTGACCAAGAGGAGCTCCAGCCTTAGCTTCACTTTTAGCTGTTTGGAGTGCACATTGGGTATGCACCAAAATCAGCACACATCACAGCACGTGGCGCTGCATGAAAGGACGCATCCAAGATCAGGCAGTTCGTTGTGCGGAGGGTTGTGAAGTTGCCATAAGCTTGTGAACCTGAGCAACAAAGCATCGCTCATCAGATTCCTCAAACGCCCTCCAAAGGCCGTGTTCTTTCCTCGTTCGTTCCGAGGCGCTTGGCCATGGCACTGGAGCTTCGAGGCTGAAAACGCGATGTCATGGTAGGTGAAACAGGGTGTTCAGAGAAGTACGAGAGACGTGGACAGGGTCTTGGGGAAGGAACAGCCTTTTCCAATGCTAAGACTGATAGACTGGACACTTGTGGTGTCACCGAACGCATGGCAAAACCCATTTTCCAATCGCCGCTCGGACGCGTGGGGGCCCCCGGTCACTGGAGCCACCGAAGCAAACGTCGGACCCCACGAAGCACCAAAGCAAACGTCGGACCCCGCAACCACGTGTGGCCAGGGCATGTATGGGAGGCCTTGCGTTGCCCCTTTGCGAATTATGTTCTCCAGAAGTGCGTGACGGTGCCCTGAGTTGGTGGGTTGAAAGATCTTACACAAAGCAGGTTCTAAAGACATACATCTACAGGAATGATTTGAAGTGTCTGCTGGCGACATCGAGCTCGGTATACATGAACTGAACGGTGCGGTGATCGAGCTCGGGTGCAGAAATCATTGTGTTCGCAGAGCAAGTTCGAGGGGCCCGAGGGGGAGGTGTTCAGACTCGCGGGTTGAAGGAACTCGTGTCGGGGTCGTGGGCACTTCTCGTTCGAGGTACTCTCACGGGAGAACATGAACTTCATTTTCCAGGAACTGAAGCAGAAAGGCCGGTCTGCACACAGACGTCTCGGGCCTCGGCTGTTACTGTAGACCATAAAAGCTGACACGCCCCGTTGCCAGTCATTGCTGTCATTATACATACTTTGTAAAAGCAATCCAACTCATCCAATGATCATCCAATGCATCAAAACTGTGTGAGAACAAAGTGTGCCAAAGCATTCTCGGCACCTCCCATTTGGCCCGGGATTTGAGACCTTATCTTAAGACCCCTGATGCAGGTCCTGAGATGATCCAGCAAGCCGCACGGCACAAGTGCCCGTAAATCTTTGGGTCAGTTGAGGAAATCAATCACGGTACCTGTAAGTAGCGATCTGGCGAGCGAGCTTGGCGCTTCGATCGCACTGAGGGGCCGACTGTGAGGGAGGTCGGAAGACCTGGGAAGCGGAGTGGAGGAAAGCGGAGCTTTCCGGAGCACACGATCGTTCTCCACAAAGAAGGGAGGCAACAGTCCCAACTGATCGTCTCCCGTCATCAAGAAATCAATCAATCATCAGAACAAAAATCCATTTGAGCGAATGCTTATTATTGGTCGATTGCTTGGACAAGATACTGGTTGAAACCATCCATATCCAAGAGTGCTATTGTCGATGCCTTCCATCTAAGGTAGGTGCGCCACGGGGGTATGCAGCTTAGGTTCACCATCTCCAGGTACGGCTGCCGCATCATTCAGCGGCTCTTGGAGTGCGGGCCAGCAGACCAGGTGAGCCAACCAGGGCTTTCATGGCGGGTCGCTGGTCGCTCCTCAATATGTTTTTCATGTGGTTTTTCGCAACCCCGACAGAGGCCGAAGGAGCGCAGGAGCCAACGAGTGCACAGAACCGTCAGGTGGATGAACCGTCTTTGTTCCTAGTAGTAAGGCACTTGTTACTAGCAACTTTTGTAGAAGGCCCTTTTTGTAGAAGAGCAGCTTTGCCACATCCCTGGAGAGAACGTTGCCAAGTCTTGGGCCCGCGGTTGGACACCTTCGTGTGTGTGAGTGTGGGGAAAGACAGGTCAACGACTTGATCGATTGCCTTCTGCAAGACGCGATCAACATTTGTGCCCATCCTTATGGTAACTATGCCCTTTGGCTGCGTGAAGATGCGGACTGCACTGCTTCGGGAAGATGGTACCCCGAGCATTAGCATGGCCCCTTGGCCCCTTCGTATGCCCTGTGTTGATGACTGGCTTGGCCACTTGGTTGTGGTTCCGAGCGCCGAGGTCATTCAGAATTTGCTTGACCAAAGACCGGAGCCCCAGATGGATCATTCGGAAGTTGTTCAGCCAAACAAATCTGCAAACGGCTTGCAGTCCATGGCATTCCATTCATTCTTTTAGTTTCGCTGAGCGTCGCTGGCCAATCCATCAGTCCGCTTAGCTGTGAAAAAACACATGTTTTGGCCAATCCATCAGACCGGCTGTGTGAATCACACTCATGACTTGTCATGACCGTGTTTTGCGTTTCCGCTTGTTAGGTTCGAGGGTAGGTGAGATTTCCTTTTAGTTAGAGGAATGGAGGGGGGGGTCTTGCCCCCCCGACCCGGAAGAGGCTGCGAAGCTCCAGAACTTGTTGATGGAGCTGAGCCTCGTAGGCGCGCGCCTAGCTGTGAGCCATGGGAGTGAGATGGTCTTGGCGAAACAACTGACGGAGCGCCTTGGTGTCGATCACAAGCCCTGGCATACTGAATTTGTCACAGGCCAGGTGCGTGAGGCAGTCCAGATGGTGGATCTGGAAGATAGGCTGGGTGGAACCTCGTCGACGAGGTCAGTGCAGAATATCATAGATGCCAAGGCAGTGATGGACAAGGAGAAGAAGAAGTCCCTCGAACCTGTTGAGCCCCTGGCGGTTGTCCTCGTGAAGCCGAAGCGCGGCACCCTGGGGAGGACGGTTCGGTTGAAGAGCGGGCGAATCGCGGCCGAGGACGAGGTGAGCAGCAAGGTCCTGGACAAGCTGGTGGGTGAGCTGGTGAATTACAGGGCGACGGTCCTTGAAGAGGTGAAGAAGTCAATGAACTCAGGTCGAGCCAAGGAGGCTCTGCTGGGGAAGTATCGCATCTCGACAATCAGGAGGTATCTGGCGTCCTGGCAGAGGTTCAGAATCTGGGCAGATTCTATGGGGAAGCCAGGTCAGCGACCAAACACAGTGACCCTCGTGGACTATATGTATGCGAGGGAGGAGGAAGGAATGGGTCCATCCATTCCACTGGCAGTCAGCACGGCAGTGGCATGGTTTGAACGGACTGCCGGGACGCCGGAGGAGGAGCAGTTGATGAACCAGGCTTTTCCACAGATGGTCATGAAGGAGTTGACGAGGAAGTTGGAGCAGAGTGCACCGCCAGTCCGGAGGGCGCCCCGATGGCTGGGGTGCTTCGTGGCTCCAATGGAGACGCTGGTGATCGATGCTGCAACACCTTTCGAGGTGAGGGTGTGTGCATGGTTTAAGCTCATCAAGCTGTGGGGTTCCTTGAGATTTGACGATGCAGCGCATCTGAGGACTACGGAGCTCCGCTTCTATGATGGACAGTTGGTGGGGATGATGCATCAGACCAAGACAACTGGTGCTGGCAAACGGGTTCGTGAGCTGCCGATTTTCATTGCAAAAGACGCTTATGTGTTGCATGACGATTGGCTGGCAGTGGGCTATGACCTGGTTAAGCTGAAGATGCCAAGGGATCGTGTGTTTGTCTTCCCTGAAGGGTGCTTCTATGGCACAGCATATGGGACAGCGCCTGTCTCATATGCGGAGGCGGTGGCCGGGAGCTCAAGAGCGTTTGCACTGCTGGAGGGCTACGATGGTGGGCTGATCCCATCAGGATGGGAAAGATTCTGGACAGAGCACAGTGAGCGCGCAACAATGCCCAGCGGTCTTGCTGCTTTGGGCGTGGAGAAGTCAAGCAGAGACTTGTTGGGTCGCTGGTGTCCGGAAGGTTCGGACGTTTACGTCCGGACATACAACACGATAGTCAGGAAGATGCAAAGGAAGATCGTGGCAGTGTTGCGAGGGGAGGCCGCCTATGAAGAGCTGGACGAAGGCTCCATTTTGGAGGAGCTCAAGGTGTGGCTTAGAGACAAGTGGACAGTCCCGGAGGACCAGGCCGAGAGTGTTGTGGAGGCATGGAAGGAGAAGTTGGGCGTCAGAGGGAGGCCACCGGCGACATTGCATGTTTCGGACGAGGACACCACGATCTATGATGGATCTCAGAGCGAGGGGGAGACAGCAGCTCTGCAGCAAGCGGACCCGAAGAAGAGGAAGATGAATGACCCCTTGGAAGAGGAACGAGAGGGGAACTACGTCGTGGTGTACAGGCGAGCCGGTAGGGGTACGCTGCACCGGCTTGGAGTGAAAGGCTGCTGGATGGCCAAGAAGCGTTTCTTTGTGAGGTCGGAGATCCACAAGGAGCTTCCGGAACCGGAAGAGTACACCCTCCGATGCAAGCTGTGTTGGGGCGGGGGTAGCGATCCCCTAAGTGAGTCCACAAGTGACTCGAGAGATGAACTGAGTCTCAGCGATTGAAAAGGAGTCGTCTGAGCCGCATCAAGGGGTAGCTGCATAGGGAGGATAACCTGGGTCGCACCCAGGGAAGGGTTCGTGCCGCAGCACGAGGGAGGGCTAGATCGCATCTAGCGGAGGCCACTGGTAGGAGTAAAGGCAACCCTGAGCCGAGCGAGCCGCTCAGGCTTGGGGGCGGAGCGCAGCAAGCGCAGTGCCATTACCAGTGGAGGAGAAGGCTGGGCGCACCACAGACCGATAGAGTTTTTCACATCGCATGTGAGCGGAACAGTGCATAGCATGCACGAAGGTGGGCAAAGCTGTGTCCATAAGAAGCATCGCATGCTTTGAAACCTGTTCTGGTTCAGACAGGCGGGGCGGGGGGCGCTCACCGGTGGGCGCTTGACATGCCGCGTGCAGCCATCTCGGAGGCTGAAGGGAGCAAAGCGCTAGAACTAGCAGGCACCGACATCAAATACCTCTTCTCGAGGCATGAGGTGAGTGTTGACAATCAGAAGCTCTTCTTTCATCATGGTGTTACAACATTGGAGAAGCTGTCAAATTTTGCAAAAGATAGGGATGACCTGGCCACGGTCCTCAAGGAGCATTGGGAGCTGGATTCAGACAGGTCACTGGAGGAGCGGGTACAAGTGGCGGCAATCACATGTGCCTTCAGCAATGCAAAGACAAGGAGCCAGAGAGCTGCGGAGGTAGACGCAGAGTACGACACGTCTCAGTGGGCCAGGCCAGTGGTGGCAGGGGAATGGGCGGCAATGCGCTCAGCACTGGAGAAGAAGTATGGCCACCTGGAGGATAAGATATATCCCTCGAAAGAATTCGTTGAGAAGAAATTGGCAGAGGTTGAAAGTGGCGAATACCGGGCTGAGGAGCTTACAGAAGTAGTATCAAAAGAAGAAATCGAGCCCGATGGGGTCGTGCCCATTTGGGACTCCAAGGGCCGATTGGCCATGCGCAAGGCATCGACAAAAGTGCCTGAACCGGCGAACGCTGAAGAACTCAGACGCCGCTTGACGATCTGGAAGAATGCGATGGTCATGATCTCACTGAAGCATTCGGATAGGCATGAGCTGCAGGGGGCCTGGGAGGAGACGATTGAGCAGTACAAGGATTACCTCCTGGGGGACTACGTATATGGGCTCAGTGCAAAGGATGCGGAGGGCCAGACCTTTGCTGCTCCACCATGGAAGTTGATCATCGCATACGAGCGGGCCATCCGGAAGCAGGCGGTGAAGATCACCAACACAGAGGGTAAGCCCTTGACAGTGGCACTCAAGACAGCATGGAAGGATGCAACAGTGAAGGAGAGGAACTTCACGACACCTTTGGCATTGTATGCGAAGAGGCCTACACCGCCATGGAGAGAACAGCCAACCAACAAGTGGCAGGCAGTCGAGAAGGGTAGCAAAGGCAAGGAAAAAGGCAAGGCGAAGAAGGGCAAAGGAAAAAGCGGGAGTCCGCATTGTGCCACGCATACACCTGAAGGAGATTTGATCTGCTTCAGGTACAACACCCCGGGGGAGAAGTGCAAGATGGCCAAATGCAAGTACCGCCATGTGTGCGGAATATGTTTCAGTGAGAAACACCCCCTCTACGAATGCAATGCAAAGAACAGGAAGGAGGCGGCAGCTCCCGACACAGACGGGGCAAAATGAGGACCTTTGAAAGTCCTCTACGTGTTTTCGGGGAAGAAGCGCAGGAACTCCGTGGCGTGGTTTCTTCGAAAGCTGGCACAACGAAAGGGTGTTCAGGTGGAGATCACTGAGTTGGACATCCAGTCTGATCGTCGATCGGATTTTACAATCCCTTCTGTACAGAAGAAGTGGCTGCAGTTGATTGCTCAAGGCATCTACTATGCTGTTATTGTGACGCCACCCTGTTCTACCTTTTCGAGAGCAGTGTGGGCGAATGATTTGGGGCCTTTCCCATTGAGGAGCTCGACATACCCGAGGGGTTTTCCGTGGAATAGGGCAGAGCGATTTCACAAGGCAGAATTTGGAACAATCTTAGCTGACTTTTCATTTGAAGCATTGAAGCGTCAGTTTGCATGCAAGCAACGTGTCGGTTTGATGGAGCAACCAGAGGACCTCGGGAGGACCAAATATGAGAGGATTCCGGGGCATCAACCGGCGTCTATGTGGCAGTTTGCACAGTTTCAACAGTTGTTGCAGATCCCAGGTGTGAAGACAGTGGTATTTGCTCAGTCAGAGTTTGGTACAGAGTCACCAAAACCTACAAGATTCCTGATGCGCATGTTTGCACCTCTTCATCCAGCAATGCATTCAGGTATTCCACAGTTTGATGCTCAGGGCTGGTACGAGGGACCTCTTCCTAGGCAATCAGGGGGCGCCCCTCTGATCGGGAAAGCAGGGGGGGTTTTTCGTACAGCAAAGTCAGCAGCATGGCCTCCAGCACTCTGCAAATGGACAGCTGAAGCCATTCTCATCTCCTTCATGCAAGAGTGGAACGGGGGGGATGAGACACCTACTTCAGCATTGAAGAAGAGGAAGCTTGAAGTTGGCCAGGGCGACCAATCTATGGCGAAGCGACCAAGGAGCGGTCAAGGCGCTGGAGGTGGAGTTGATCCGATGAAACCACTGGTTCCGGGGGGGGCACGGTCCCCCGAGGGCGTGTAGATGGAAGGGCATGGAGGCACCTTTTCATGATGGAGGAGGTTTGGCGTCCCCGGGGAGATGGCCCCAGGGGGAGAGAAAAGAGTTGGTTGGAAGAGAATGGAGGGCACTGAGGCATAGAATCCTGCTGGCCGCAGTCAGACGTTTGGGGAGTGTTGAGGAGGTCGAGAAGGAAGCTTTCCGGATGGCGAGAGGTGGCGATGCATTTCAACTGGTCCGAGAGGAGGGCTTTTTAGAGGAGATCAGGCAAATGCTGGCCGAGTGTCTGGGCATTCCGAAGCAGGAGCAACCGGAGGCGGGACAGCCGTTCTTCCTGGACCTCATGAAATGCATCCTGGAGAAGGCAGGGGACCCGGATTGGGGGTTCTTAGAGCAGGCGAAGACCGGCTTGCCTTTGGGGGTTATCAACGACCTTCCACGGACACCAGAGATCTTTGAGGAGCAGATGAAGTGGAGCCTCGACGGAGACGATTGGGGCAATGCGGCATGGCAGAAGGACAACTATGCCTCGGCGGCGGAACATGAGAGGTACCTGACGGAACACCTGGAGCAGGAGGTGGCTGAAGCGCTCATGCTGAAGATGGATGAGGCGGAGTTCATAGAGACCTTCGGGAAGGACAGGGCAGTGGCAGCCCTAGCGGTGCTGGTGGAGGATGAGTTGACCGGGAAGAAGAGAGTGATTCATGATGGCACACATGGTGTCATGGTGAACCATCGGATCAAGTGCAAGGACAAGGTCCGAATGCCGGGGCCCAGGGAGAAGCGCGCTCTTCTGGAGGAGTATGAGGCTGGCCGGGTTGCTGTCCTTTCTCTGGTGGGTGACTTCGCAAAGGCTCACCGGAGGTTCAAGTATTGTGTGGAGGAGCAAGGTTCTTCCACCAGTTCAAGTACAGTTTATGTGAACAGAGTTGGCACTTTCGGAGTGGCATCGACACCCTACTGGTGGGCAAGGTTGAGTGCAGCGTTGATGAGGCTTGTCTATTGGGTGTTGGGTGACTTCTTTCCGAATGACATGCTGCTTTACGCGGATGATCTTGAGGTGTTGACGATAGGGCGTCGGGGACGCATCGGTGGTGTGTTGGCCTATTCTGTGATGGCTTCCCTTGGTGCACCGTTCAAGTGGGCAAAACAGAGGGGTGGCATCGTTACAGAATGGATTGGACTCACCACGGATTACAGTGCTTTCTCCATGGGCCTTTCCTTGAGGAGAGCGAGCTGGCTTGTTGATTGGATTGGCTCCTTGAGGGAGAGAAAAGAGGTCACTTTCCGTGAGTTTTCAGCTGGACTTGGGAGGCTGGGCTTTTCGGCTTTGGCGCTGCCGTGGGAGAAGCCCCTGCTCGGGCCATTGTACGCCTGGGCCTCAGCGATCCAAGCCAACAAGGGTGCAATGACCATCCCTTGGGCTGTGCAATTCATCCTAGACTGGGTGGCACAGAGGCTCAAGACCGGGGGTCACATGGAGGTAGTCAAGAAGCCTCCAGCATCAGGTTCCGGTACAGTGAGAATCTGGACGGACGCGAAAGCAACAGAGCAGGCAGCATGGGTTGGAGGCTGGCTTGAGGAGTGTGAGGACAGCATGAAGTGTCGCTGGTTTTCGCTACAGGTGACAGAAGTGAGCGCCCCCTGGCTGCTTTACAGGGGCAAAAACCCCAAGAGAGTGATTGCAGCATTGGAGCTCCTGGCGACCCTCATTGCCCTGAAGTTGTGGTTGAAGAAGGCTGGTGACACAGCCGAGGTGAGGGCTGAAGCGTTCACCGACAACAAGGGCAATTCCTTCATACTCCAGAAAGGCCTTTCTACGAAGTACCCAATCACCATTTTGGTGATTGAGGTGGCAGAGACACTGCGAAGGTGCGACGCCTTTGCTACACTCACATGGGTGAGAAGGGATGGTAACACTTTGGCAGACGCCTTGACGAATGAGGACTTCAGTTCATTTGATCCCCAAAGAAGGGAGGCAGTGATAGAAGAGGAGTTGAAGTGGCATGTCATGGATGACCTACTGCAAAGCAGTGAGAAGCTCTTCAACGAGATCAAGGACCACAAAGTAAAGAAGAACAAAGAGAAGCCGAAGTTGGACCTCACTAGGAGGAAGGCCAAGAAATACTTCAGTCGTTGGACATCCTGACTGAGAATGGGAAGTCTGCACCTGGGAAGCTCCCAGGTGCAGCCGGCAGGAGTATGTTCCAAACCGACTGCTAAAAAGTCCGCTTGTCTTTGCTGTCGGTCGGTGTTACATGTACAAGCTTTAAAGCAGAACACACTCATGACTTGTCATGACCGTGTTTTGCGTTTCCGCTTGTTAGGTTCGAGGGTAGGTGAGATTTCCTTTTCCCTACCCCACCCTCCCGGAAACTCACCTGCGCACAGGTGGGAAGCTCCCAACCACAGGTGGGTCCGCGACGCTCGCGGGAAGTCTGCACCTGGGAAGCTCCCAGGTGCAGCCGGCAGGAGTATGTTCCAAACCGACTGCTAAAAAGTCCGCTTGTCTTTGCTGTCGGTCGGTGTTACATGTACAAGCTTTAAAGCAGAACAGCCATCATTCATGTCTGAGTTTTTGATGCTTCTCCCAACTTCGAAACCGAGATCCTTTCTGTTTTTTCCTGGCAGTATGAATGCCAAGAGAGAAGCATGGTAGAAGTCTGGTCGCGTGGGGTGGAAGTCTCAGAGGCCTTGGTAGAATCCGCCATCACTGACACGAGTGCCCTGAGTTGACCCAGATTCTATGAGGAATCATTGGGTCCCAGCCGCTTGAGTCCCCGAGCATCAGAGCCAGCCTGTTTACAGGCACTCGGGAGCAGCGCCGCCGCTTGCTCCACTCCTTGATGGACAATGTGACGTTGGTAGGTGCGAATTCGACGTCGGTTGGGTCACCGCACTCGCACTGTTTAGGGTGGAGGTTTTCAGGGCAAAGGATGGATAGGACATTTTCTATCCCCAGAATGATCTTCCTGACCATTTGCAGAGGTCACGAAAAGGACTTTTTTTTGCGCTAGCAAAATGACCCATGGAAGGCAATGAGAGCGACAATGTCTACGTCTCTGCTGTGATGGTGAAAATCATGTCAGTGGCGCAGAGGGAGGAGAAGGCAGCTGCAGGGCGCGTGGGCCGGCGGGAGAACGGGGGGGGACAGCGTCAGTGGCCGGTGGCCGGTGGGAGCGATGGATCTGCGCCACCGTGCCCAAGACGCTATTCGTGTGCAACGCCCTGGCAGTCCGGTGGCGGTCGTCCATCGGTTTCTTCCCGATTTTGACAAGAGCAATGTGCATGGAAAGCTCACCAGACTGGGTTCTTTCGCTACAAAATGGTCAGCGGAGTTTGGAGATGGGTAGTGACACTTGACAGTCAATGCATAGGACCGGACTCCTGCGATAGTGGCGAAGGAACTTTTCAAGCTCAGCTGGAACCCCTAGGCCCTACTCTAGGAGCGTCCTTGCTCCTAGTAGTGATGCCCTTGTTACTAGTAGCGATGCACTTGTTACTAGTTCTTGGCTGAATGGGATGATATAGTCCTCTCAGAGTGGGGGTAAAAATCCTTTCAGCTCCAGGTGCAACTGGCGAGATCACTCCTCAGAGTGCGTGGGGCTGAGATGAGGACTGAGGACAACGTCTTTCTTTCCCCATGGAGTTCATTGGTCAAGATTCACTTCCGCGATCCTCACTATGTTCGAAGGGTGGCCTCCAGGAATTGCTGCGATTTTAGTCAGACATGGTGTATTTTTGATTTGAGAGTGTTGAGCGTTCAGGCCAGGGCTTCTTCGGAAGATGGGTACCACAAGGCCTGGAAGCCCCTTTCGAGCTGCGGCGGCCACACTGCGAAGGAACTGTGAGGGACCTTTTGAGCTCGTCGACGCGTGTCTGCGTGTCGTGCGAAGGAAGTGCGCAAATGCATTCGGAGTGCTTGAACAGGCAGCCATGACTGGGCGGCTGTTAAGGTCAACCTGTGGTTGATCTTGACAATCCCCCCAGTTGATCATTGATCAGTGCAACAGTTCGACCAGGCATGGACATCAGGCAGCTAAGAAGGTTTTGAAGACCTTGACCGGCTCTGAGCATGAGGAGAGAGCTGGGCCGGCTCTGAGCATGACCGTGACCGGTGCTTTTTCGCTGTGTTGGCGACGCGTTTTTTGGGAGCTGCTTTCCTGACGCTTGTTTCTATTGGGCGCCGCCTTCTGGGGAGCAATATGGAGCATTTCTGGATGAACTTTTTGTATGAACGCTGGTAACTGCAACAAGTTTTCAGAGGGTACATTGAGAATGTTGTCCAGGCTGCGTCCAAGACTAGTTGACTAGTCATTGTAACGTGAAATCGCAGCCATCAGCCGAAACTGATTCGGCCAGATGGCGCCCATGAACACCTACCCATTGTCGAAACCGTCGCGCTGTGAGGATGCGAGGTTTCAACTTTATGGCCACGGCAGTGAAGCTACTGCCGAGCCTGGCTCCCAGAGCATCAGAGTGTTGGAGCATCAGCTCCTTGAGCGACGTCGAGGAAGGAATCCAAAAAGGACAGCACGAAGCAGATCAGGCCCCAAACTATTTTCAGGGGCCTCCTCGCCTTTTCGTGTGATTTTGCCAATTGCGCCGGGATCCCGGGAAGCCTTACTTCAGGTCCCGTCGCAAAGCTGCAAGCGCGGGCCCTGGGCCGCTGTGAACGGGAAGAGCGGTGCTGCGGTGCCGTTCGGACGGAGAGGGAGCGAAACACAGCGAAAGCACCGGTTGGATCCATCGGTGTTCCGTTCGGCTGAAGACGGTGCCTTGGGCCTTGATCGTATTTTCGCACGTTTCATGGTTTCCTGGCTCCTCAAGCATGGCAAAAGCGAAGCGAGCGACAGGCAGAAGTTGCCTGTAACCTTTTGCCTCACTCTGTCCAGTCAGTTCTGACAGTCCGCCAAGGCATGCGCCGACAGGAGACCTGAGGGCCCCAATTGACCAATTAGGCCACGAGGTGGGGTGTGCCTTTTCTTTTTTTTGGCATGGGGACGATTGCAAGAGTTGCAACTGCCTATTGCGAGTCATCAGAGAGGAACAGTGCCCACTTGACGCAAGCTTCGTAAAACGAGCTGAGGCGTCAAACCCGAGGTAGATTACAACATAGACATGTGACATGTTGTTGCAGTTTCTGAGTTTTTTTTTGCCGGGTCTTTGCGCAAATAGACTCTGATCAGGATTCGTGGACAAACACTTCGTACAGAAGGTATCCCACGAAGTGGATACTGCAATTCACCGGCCTGAAGCCGAGTGTTCTCGTCATGTGTTCTGAGGCAGGGTGCTTTCATTTGAGGATTACTAAAGATCCGAAGTTCCAGACCGAAGCTTTTCTTCCGTCCCGATTTGGTCTACCAAGAGGACATGCATTTCAATTATATAGTCATATTGTACTATTTGTATTGCTTCTACAGCCTATCAAAACGCCTCGACTTCGATCGACCCGCACATCCGAGGCGCCTTTTTGCGCGGCAGGCGCTAGCTGCAGCCCATCCGCTCGGACACGAAGATTCCGGCGGGGCTTTATTCGGGCGGTTTCGCTCGGCCGAATTCTTTGGCCCTCTCGGTCTCTGGACAGGCAGCGACCGTCGCTTGGGGAGGTTTTCGCCTGTTTTCGGCCGACCGTTTTCGCGGGGTTGGGGCGAAACATGTCCTGACCCAGTGGCACCAGCCAGGGTCAAAAACCTTGGATTTGAGGTGGGAATGATCACCAGCGACATGCAGTGTTGTCCTTGAATATGACGAGGTTTTGATCCTGGCTCTGCATTTTTGGTTGCAATTTTTGTGAAGGCATCCATTGAAGCCGGCACAGCCGGCACCTGGGAACTCTTGTGCCCCGAGCAGCCAGTACTGATGATTCAGGCTAAAACGTCTGGTTTGCAAAATCAGTCCTGCGCCCGGCATGCATGGGTCGAATGATCATTGCTTGCCGAGCAGTGCATAGCTCATGGGCAAACACCTGTGTTGTTTTTTTGGGATTCAATGAACTCAGCTTTTCAGAAGAGGTGTCTAGTGCATCAATGGGTGATTTGCCGCACAGCTCAGTCATCCGCTACCTCTGCCTCCGGGTGAGGCAAAGGCTTGAGCAGCAGCGTGACAAGACGAGTTTTTTGATTGTAGTCCTACTTCTAGATGACCGACGTTTGATTAGCCAGAGTGCTGGCTATTGGAAGCTACAACTTACTCTATGGAAGTCTATCACAACTCTGTGCAATATTACACTTGGCCCACTTCACGGCTTCAGATTCAGCCCCCCTCCTCCATAGACAGGTTTGTGTGAGTTTGTGGACTGCGTGAGCTTCTAGAAAACCCCAAATGCTTGTGATGGCTCACCTTTCCTTTCCCGCAGATTTCCATTTGGATCCATTTGCTGTGACGTGGTCACTGGAGGGAAAGGAAGGCCCCAACAGAGCACCTAATGAGTTAGGTCACGAACAAAGGATTTGCTCTGGTTGCCCAGTCGCAGAACTTCAGCTTCTTCAAGTAGTCAGCAGAACAGCAGCTTCTACTAGATCAGATCTGCTGACCAACAGCACCCTCCAAAGCTTGTTGGGTGGGTGCTGCTCTCTCTTGGGCTCGATAGATCTCGATGGCCTAATTGCCTATCTCATTTTTCTCGTACCTTTTTCACGAACACATCCCACTTCCCACCCTCGAACCGCCGTTCGGGGTGCGAGATGGAGCGACGGGTGCAGTTCGGTGGCGCGGAGCACGGCTCAGAAGGCGAGTCAGCGGAGAAGCGCTGGAAGGGCTGGAAGGGGTGGATGTCCTTTTTGGTTCTCAGCGATTGGGGACAGAAAGCGAAGAAGGACACTGCGAGTCACGAAGGCACCGGTCATGAAATGAATATGGACTCCTCTGTCTGACAGGGACGAGGAAGCATCATGTCATTGGACAGGGACGATTTGGCAGTGGTTCCAACATGTGCAGGTGGGTTGGTCGCTTGCTGCACTGTAGAAATTGGAGGATCAATTTCCAAATCTCAAATGCGTTACTGTTATGTAAGTTATGTACTGTTTTCAGCTGAACTTGAAGGTGCATTTCTTCCTGAACATGCAGTGTTTGTGTCCGTTTCCATCTCGGCCATGCAGGCTTAGTGGCATGGCCCTCAGCCCAACCGGTTTTCAGCGGGGTTCGGAAAGCGCAAGCTGCTTGCAGCTTCTGATGTGGTGGATGGCGACGAAAACAAGAGACTTTTTTGATAGAGTCCATGCTACTAGTATCTACTAGTAGCGTCCTTGCTCCTAGTAGTAAGGCCAGGAGCCCCTAGTAGCGTTCTTGCTCCTAGTAGCGATGCCAGGAGCCCCTAGTAGCGTCCTCTTGCTCCTAGTCTTCTCACCCAACGTTTGTTGTGACTTGAATCCTTTTCCCCTGCTGGGTTTTTGGAGCAGGTTTTCTCAGGCCTTCACGACGTCGACAAATTCTCACAGGGTTCATGGGCCAATATGCGGGCCAACGCAGTGGATCTAGGAAAAGCGCTGTAGGATGCTGTAGGACTTCCCGCCACCAGAGACGTCTCCAACTGCTTTTGGGGCTGTGGCCGTGCTTTCGTTTCCGCCCACGCTCCGCCCGCGCTCCGCCCGCATGGAAAGGTGCATGCACGGAAGTCAGAGGTCGAGACCGTGCGGAGGCTCGAACTTGGCACGCGGAGACTCGCGCCGGTGGTGGAACTCGTTTTGCAGGTTGGAGCCTTTCTGTGATGATTCACAATGATTCACTTAAGTTAGTTGACCACAAGGTTGGTATCAAACAGAAAAACCATTGGTTTTGGTCGCGGAACGACTTCCTTCTGGTGGCCAGGTCAGGGCAGGTCTCGACTCCTTGACCAGGGGCGAACTTTCTCAGGTCCATGCATCAGAGGTGCGCTCAAGGCAAAGCTTCTGCGTGCGCTATGAGGGTGGGTCGGGCGCCCCAGTGAGGCCTTCCGAGGCGGCCAAAGCCCCACGTGATCGGTGAACATCCGAAAGGGCGAGAGTTGCGCCGACTCGTGCGCGTTGCTTCCCACCTTCCATTGAAGTGCAAAGGCCTCTTTGTGCTGTTGAGCTTTTCAGAGCTTTACAGGAGACGCCAGACGTTCCTGCTGGGTGACGCGCTCGAGGTCACCGTCGCCGTCGACGTCCTCTCGATGCATTTCTCTGAGAGAGATCGTTTGTTTTTTTCAATTTCTTCCTTTTTTTGGCAAAGCAGAGTCAAAAATGTTTGGATGCAGGGCTTTAAACTGCTGAACATGGGTTCAGACTTTCTGAAAGATGTAAAGGAGAGACTTGGATAATTTGATTGGCCGATCGGTCTCGATTGCACCCCGACAGACTGGGCCAGGCAGGCGGCCTTTCGCCTCAGAGCACCAAGCGACGTGAGGGGCTTTGGGGGCTTTGTTTTTGAAGGTGTTGGAACTGGAAGTCTTGGATATGATCCTCGAGTCTCCTTTGATAGGCTTCCAAAGCAGGCTTCCAAGCTTGAAGTTATTTGGTTGGCCTCATGTGGAATCACTGACTCACCCGTGTCCTTGCCCTCCATAGACTGACAGCCACTTGAGAGTCCCCAACTGAGGTGCTAGCCTTTCGGCGGATTCGGTGGCTGGGCTCAATGACGGAGGTGGAACTGACCCCTGAAAAGACTATTTTCCTCTATAGGCAGACAGGGTGAGCCATCCACTTTCATGTGATGTGTTCGTCGGAGTGTATGAGATGTAGATGTAGATTCCAAACGTTGCGACGCATCCTATCCCATACGGTGCCTGTGATTGATCAACGTTTTTATTCTTGCGTCACCTCCCTGGTTTGAGACAGATAGTTGGAGGCTTTAAGGTCTTGCAAACTGTTTAGATAGTGTAAGCCATGCAGATCATTCTCGCTTCTGAGGTATCCCTTCCCGCATCCTCGCTGTTGAAGGTACACGGGTCGTGCTTTTTGCTGTTGAAACGCTGCAAGAGCCGATAGTCCAGCGGGACTCCCCTTCAAATCCCAGCTAGTGAAATCCCTGGTGGGTCCGAGAAAAAGGGCAGACCCACTCTCGTCTAGTTGCAGGTTTTTTGGGTAGGACCAGATATGTCCAGTATACCAGGTGGGGCCGCTTCAGCATTTGAGATGTTTTGCAAGCGGATCTGGGGCCGCGTTCGGCGGACGAACGATGTGATTTCAGAGCTTGGGATCAGAAGCAAGATACGGAACGCACAGAGCAGCAAGACACCTGAGGACTGGGCGACGCAGAACTGAGGCCTGAGGAACTCCCAGCAATGCACATCGCAGCTCAGTGGATCCAAGTCTTTCCAGAGCATTTGGGTGTATTAAAATAGGAAGACCTCCCAGTTCGACCCCCTGGAAGAAGGAACACAGACCGAAACCTGATTGCTTGTGTGTCTCCCCATTGCACAGCCCCCTGTTGCGGCCTAGAGCTTGTCTCGCTCCGCCCTCGCCTTTGGCCATGGCGAAGAAGCTCTTCATAGGCCGGTCCCTGGGATCGGTGTCGGATCGGCCGAGGCCTTCGAGAGATCGGACGGTGGAGGCGTTCGGCTCCATTGGGTCGCTCGGGGGTGGTCGAGCAGGTTACGGAGAAGAGATGTCGTCAATGGAAGTGACAGAAGTGACAGAAGAGATGTCGCTCATGTGCACCGGACCCCCCTTTTTGGCCCTATCGGTCAGTTGCCTGAGTGCGGGTCAGAGTTCAACAGGAGGTCTGCATTCTGCAGGGTGGCACTTTTGAAGTAGAATTGACCTTCAAAGACACGCCGACGTCAGTCTTTCGAAGGTGCCAACTGGAAGTGCAGCTTGGAATCTGTGGAGGAGGTCGATGCGCTCCTTGCCGCTCTCGCCGGTCTCGCCTGCGATGGGACGCTGGAGGGCCTGGAGCTTTGCATCTTCGCGCCCTACGTCTTCCTCGAACGCGCGCGGCGGCTGTTGCCGCCGCTTGGGATCAAAGATGAGGCGCAGGCGAGAGCTTAGAGATGGAAGGGTCACAGGCGTCCTGTCTCTGGTCAGCACACACACACACACATGTGTCATGTCATGTGGTGTTGCATGAGTGGTTTCGTGTGCACCTGCTCCGTGCTGTATTCAGAAAGTCGGCACAATCCTAGGAAAGAGATCCTGGTGGGCAGCCAGAATGCTTGGGATGCGGCTGAAGGCTTTGGCTGCACTGGTGTGGTAACGTCCAAGATGCTAAAAGGCCAGGGAGGGAAGGCTTTAGGAAGGAGTACTTCTAACTTCTAAGTACTTAGGGCGGCGCCAACTGTGGCACCAAGATAGAAGTCACCCTATTTTGCGGCACCATAATCTGTGGCTCAGACAACGAAACTCCATTGTGTGTGCGGATTTTGGGATTCAAAGCAATCGTTTTCGTGGGGGCTTTGTTCGTCGAGCATTCGTTTGCGGCCATTTGAAAGCACCCCTAGTGGTAAGCTTCTTGACCCTTCTTGCGGTTTCAGTTGCCTGAAACTGGCTTTGATCATGTTTCATAGCTTCGGATCTTGGATTTCTCTCCACATTGAAGCAAAACGCTGTAGCGAATGATTCACTTCTCCAGGACCTTTGGGACCCATACTTCTCCCGAGGCATTGGCTGTGAATGGGTCTTGCTCGGGCACTCTGACCGGCGGAATGTGCTGGGCGAGTCCCACCAGCTCATCAGTGAGAAGGTGAGGCGCGTTTGGGTGGGGGGGGTCCGAGCGTGGTGGCCGGTCCGGCCGTTCGGTGCGTCGAATCAGCCTGGGAGAGCCTGGGAGCCCTGGCGGTTGGGAGACGAGACGATCCCAGATGAGCCATGGGTGGAAGGGACGCCACACTGCCCAGGCAGTGTTCTTTATCGTTTGATCCTTGCATCATTGCATCAAGTCAAGTACTATAACATACTATCACAGGTTCGTGACGTAACCGGTTTGAGTTTCTTTTGGCCTGTGTGTTGTTTTTTTGGTTTTCTATCATCAAGCAGCCGTGGGAAACGGGTCCGATGTTCTCTGGGTGATGAGGTCTCCCCCGTTTTGGGTCCGATGCTTCCGGTTTCTCGACCCCGTTTGGCCCCCGAAAGGACTCGTTGACCCCCAATCGGAGACGGGGGGACCCGACCCAGTCCACCAGGTGATTGAACGACCCGACCTCCGGTTCGCCGGTCGATCGGTCCGTCCGGACGTCTTCCCCTGTCCTTTTCTGCAGGCGATGTCTTGAAAGTGGCTTGAACGTGAATATCACCATCGGCGGCTTGAACAGGACCATCGGGGCAGGAAAGATGGAACTCGTGGGCTGGAACTGGAACCATGGCTTCCACTGAACATGTTGATACATATGGTGCCCAGACCCGCTGCCTGTGAGGCTAGAATTGGGGTTAGTTTTCCTTCCAGTGGTGTCGAATCCAGATTTGTGGGCCAGCCAACTCAGCCAAGCTGGCAACAATAGTCGATCCGGAGCCGGCACGGGTGTAAGTCCAGACGTTGCTTCTTTTCTTTGCAATCTTTTTTGAAGTGATGCGAATGTGGAAAGGTTTTTTCTCTTCCTCAAAATCACAGGAAAGTTGTTCACGTTCTAGGGGACACGTGAAGCTGTTTTGGCTCGCATGCGTCATGTTGTCATGCTCTCTTTGAGGGGCCTACTGCGTGACAGGCAGTGTAGGTGCTTGCGTCTGAAAACGCGTTCCACCCGGTGCGGTGGTCGGTCCTGTGCTTTCGCCGTCCGGCCGAGGTGAAAAGGCGGACGCCCGGAGCCGTGGATGGGAGCTGGAGGTGCTGCAGGAGCAGCTGCGCTCGGTGGCCGAGGCCGAGCACCTACCGACGGGACTCGAACGGGAAGCTGTTAGGGGGTCGGAGATGGTCCGAGGAAATGAACATCTAGTGCAGAAGATGTAGAGGGTTTTATCATGTTTTATCGGCGGAGCCCTGCAGAACCGGAGGACGGTTGAAGCATTTCCCACCTTGTGGTTCGCTGCTGCTTTTGTCCACAGATAATCCAACTCTGAATTATTTGGAGGACTTATGCTCAGCTTCAACTCGGGGTCTCGCTCAATCCTTCAGTTTTGGTGATGGTTTACAGGAGACTCATTTGGAAATTGTCCGACAAATGACCGTATGAGCTGTATTCTTGCAGGCAGTGCCCAAAGAGGCCTGGGGCCGAGTGGCCGTGGCTTATGAGCCAGTGTGGATGCCCAGCACCGGGCCATCACAATCGACCAGTCGCCAGTCGCATCTCGTTCGACTGGCTCCACTAGTTGGGCCTTTTGGTTTTGCAAAGACCAGTGACCAGCCAGCAAGGAAGGAAGAAACAACTCCAGTATAGGTCTGAAGGTCTATAGAAAGAAAAGAAGGGGACAAAATGACGAAACACAAGACAAAGCAGTATTTAAGAAAAGAACGCATCAGGAAAGGACAAAAACATATCCACTTAGTCACTATAGTTGGATCCCCTTTCTTTTTGGCTTTTCTACTTGACCATTTGACCACCGTCTTGCAGTCACCCAGGTCTGGGCCGTGGGGGAAGGCGCCACCCCCTGCGAGCCCAGCGAGTGCCAGCGGGTGCACCGCTCCTTGCGCGCGTGGCTTCGGGAGTGCTTCGGGGAGGAGACCCTGCAGTGCCGGTTCCTTTACACCGGTCCCTTGGGATCGAAGAGGGACCCGATGGACGGCTGGATGGCCCCGCAGGAAGAGGGATCGGAGAGGGGAGAGGCGTCGGACACCGCGAAGAGAACGTCCCGGAAAGGCGTCGGACACCGCGAAGCCTTTCCGACTTGGCGCGTTTTGGTTGTTGTTGGTGTCTTTGGTCCCAAAGGCACCTGCTGCACGAGGTTCCGCCGTTTCAGCACAACCCCGCAGTCTAGGTTCCGTGAATGAGAAGAACGCCGAGCAGTATGCAGTCCTTCCAGAGACTTGACTGAGCTTCAGATACGAAGGGTTTCCACCGCTTTCTTTGGTACTCTTGGCATGATTTCGGACGACGCTGCAGTTGCCTGAACACATGTGACCAGAAACCACCCATCGCTTCTCACAATTGCGGGTTCTTCTTTTTCCTAACAGTTAACGAATCGATTGGTTCCAATCACTTCTTCTTTTTCCTGCAATTTGCTGAGTTCACAGTTTTTGAAAAGACCATAAAAGACCGCTTTGCCAACGGACTCGTCGAGTTGCACCATTTTCCGCGCGAAAAGTCCTTCTTCGGATGTTCCACCGCGCATACCTCCAGAGGTTGGTGCAACATCCGAAGGAAAGCAACAGAAAAACCGTGGCCACTCAGGCCACTCGCACGGTTTTCCGACTCCTCGCATCTCTTCGGTTCCGACTGATCGTTCGAGGATGTGGATGGCTTTGTGGTGGGCCGTGCAGGGCTCGACGCCCAGAAGCTGAAGACGGTCTGCCAGACGCTGGTGAGCAGCAAGCGAGCTGGAGCCAGCTGAGCGTTTTTGTTCGAAAGCAAGCAAAAAGGAGACGCTGGGAGACGCAGGTGTTGAGGTTCATGGGCCGCCTTTTTGGAGATGTTCTCAGAGACCGATCCACAAAAAATAGGGCAAATAGGAGCTGGGTTTTTGCTACCAGAAATGGCAGCTAGGTCAACTTCGCCGTCGCCCATGTTGGGATTCTTGTGCTTGAGCATCCAGGACTTAGGGGAAGAGCTCTCCTTTGGTCTTGGGCCCTCACCAGTCCGCTTGCATTTTGTTCACCGAGACCACACCGTTACGATTTGTTAACAAGTTTGACGTTCGCTGACCTTGGATGGTAGTGCTGACCTTGGATCCTTGGCGTCCGGGTCCCTGTTCTATCATCTGCTTTCGCAAGGCACCCGCGAAAGCAAGGAACGGGGAGGGTTTGATGGAGTCCATCAGGATTGATTGATAACTTATTATTTATCATTCTACTAAATGTGAAAGTATGTGAAACTGTCTATTGACTGAATGTGAGATTTGGAACTCGGTAGTGAAAACAAAACACGCATCGACGCAACTTGCCTTGAAGTGAACCCTCCTCTAGTTTGAAGGCTCACTTTTCTTAATTAAGATCTGGGATATCTGATATCGGCCAGTTTTTGTGCTTTCTACATGCAAAAGAGTTGAAGCGACTGAATCCGCCACACCTGGCTGGGGGGTCTCCCCAAGCCAGAGAGGATTCCTGTCGCCAAAGGCGTGGCAACTCAGGGGCAGTGTGAGGTGTTTGGTAGTCTGTGCATCTGTGTGAGTGTGCGCTACATACAGGCGCACCTGGCATTGAGATGTTTGTCCACCAAACATGGCTCTTGGACCGAACCTCCTTCGATGTGAGACGTCACCGGCGGTCTGAGGTGCCGAGGACAGTGATGGAAGCGAGGAGCAGGAGACCTCAGTGCGACCACAGCGAGGTTTCTGGTGCCGTTTGGTACTCGTACCTGCTTTCTGGTCTTCAAGAACATGTTTCAAGTTTCAATGGTTTTCTACTAGGACCACATAACGGCACAACTGATGATTGCCGTTGTGTCAGGTTGGTCTTTGCTTTTGAGGGTGGGGGGGGTCCTGCTGTTCTTGACCATTGCTGAAGGGTCGTCCTCATTTTGCAGGAATAACTTCTCTAAGAACTGAATGCTTTTCTGTTTTCAACATCCCCTCAAGAGCTTTGCCCCCCGACTCTTGTGCAGGTGGGACCCATCAGCGGAGCCAAGCGCAGAGGTTGGGTTTGAGACGAGAGTTGTACATTGGGTGCTGGTGAACATGTCGTCTGCGTCTGAGGGATCGCCGACCAGGGGGATCGTGCGGCCAGGCTGCCCTGGACACCTCCGGTCTGGGGCCCTAAGAGTTCGGAGCGACGAAGCGGTGACGGAGCTTGGTTGGGGTCGGTCGCTTGGAGTTTCCGTCGGCCACGAGTCGTTGCCTGCAGCGCACTCCGTCGGTCGGTGTGGGGAATGAATCCGGGCACGGTCCGCGTGGTGGGTGTCTACCTGACCATCCTGGAAATGGGCTTAGACTTCCAAGGCCTTGCCACGCTGCTGGCTTCCATAAGGACGTGCCAGGCGTGAATGGATGTCACCCTCGGGCGTTTGAACAGTGATAAGTGCATTTCGGATTCCATGGATGGGTTTTCCTCTCGAAGATGGGGTTTGTCTCAAACTGGGAGAGTACCCGAAGCCCAACCCACCTTGTAGAAACACACATGGACCACCAAATCTTGGGTCCAACCTAGCTATCAAACATTCAAGTTTCTGAAACCGCAAAGATTAATCCAGCAGCCAGTGCAGCAGGGGTCCCTCCAGTGCTTCATCCTTTTCGTTGAAACAGAGCGTGTTGGTTGCAAAGAAAGCAGCTTTCCGCCTCTCGGCCAACCGCACCAGATGAAGAGCTGGCGGCCGCTGCCGGAGCAGGTGGACTTGCAGGGAAGCCCGGGATTTGCAGCGTGAAGGTCAAAGCAAGGCTGAAGATCGATAGTTTCATGGCATTTTTCTCCTCCTTCACGGCATCATTTGTTTTGGACATGTGGCAAGCCACTTTTGAGCAGATGAAACGCTGTGAGTGTATGAGCTGCCACTCGAAGGACACAATGAATCTTAGAAGAAAATTCTTCCTGGCCTGTCTTGCTCAAGCACCCTTGGTGTTGAAGAAGTAATCTTTCGTCCTCTCATCATGAGGCTGTCGTCCTTTGTGCTTGTCCTGGCACTCACGTGCATTCCAGTCGAGAGTAAAGATGCAGTGAAGCAGCTTCGCGGAGGAAAGGTACCTGAGAAGGAGGTTGAGAGCAAAAGCCCAGAGAGCCAAGCATCAGAGGAGGCTGAGACCGTGGATCCAACTGCCACAAATGCCATTGGAGTTCCACCACCTAGCCAAGCAGTAACACAGGGTGAGACGGTGGATCCGCCTGCCCCAGCTGCCGTCGAGACCAAAACCCCCCCCAGCTGCTGTTGGAGTTCCAGCAAAGGAGGTCGAGACCAAAACC